AAAAAAAAAAAAAGAAGTAAAGCCAGGGGGGTTGGCGGGGGAGATGGCTCAGTAGGATAAGCGCTTGACTGGCAAACGCAAGGATCTGAGTTCAATCCCCGGTTCTGCAAAAAGAAAAAAAAAAAAAAAAAGTAAAGCTGGGGCCGGGGAGATGGCTCAGTAGTATAAGTGCTTGACTGGCAAATGCAAAGATCTGAGTTCAATCTCCGGTTCCGCAAAAAAAAAAAGTAAAGCCATGGTGTTATGTTGAACTGTAAGGGATTCAGGTCAATGATTTCTGACATTGCCAGTTAAGCGGAAGACCCAATACTATTATAGACTACTGGACTCTTTTAGGATATTTTGCTTGGGGCCGGGGAGATGGCTCAGTGGAATAAGGGCTTCCTTGGCAAGCGCAAGGGCCTGAGTTCAATCCTCAGTTCCACCAAAAAATAAAATAAAATAAAATAATTTTATTCCTCGCATGCCTTCTGGGCACGTTGGCCAGCGGGAGAGTTGTAAGGTTCGAACTCCAGCCACCTGAGGCTGACAGCTTTGTGGAAGCAGCCACTTAAAGGACTGAGCTAGGCCCAAGTCCCCTAAAAATTTTAAAAAAAGAATATTTTGCTGAGTTAACACACCTATAATATTCAAATGATGGAACTAAACAAAAAAGGGGATACAGATGAATGTCCATTTTGTATCTATGTATTCAAAATGGTTAGGATAGATATAGTTACATTCTCTTAATGAATACAGTGATTTGTTCTACTAGTGTTTGTAAATAGGATATCATGTCTGCATCTTGTACAGCAAATAGCCAATAGGAAGAACGTATGCATTGTGTTAATTATTGAAACTGTCCTACCAGTTTGATTTGAAACTGTCTCATTGCTATTTGTTTCTCAATAAAATTATGGAAAAAATAAAAAATAAAAAGAGCTGAGGCAGGAAGATCACCATGAATCAGAGGTCAGCCTGGGCTACAGAGTGAGTTCAAGGACAGCCTGAACTACATTGCAAAACCCCATCTCTCTCAAAAAATAAAAGAAACAGGCATGGTGGTACATGCCTAGAACTCCAGGGCTCTGCGGCACTAAGAAAGGAAGGTCACAGTTTGAGCCCAAGCCTAGAGAACTCGGTGTTTTAGCAAGGATGTTGTCACAGAGGGGAAAAAGAGAAGAGCAAGAGAGAAGAAAGGAATCAGGAAAATGTTTGGGTTTTTTTTTTTTTTTTTGGTGGGGTTGGGATTGGGGTCTTGGGGGGCTGTTATTTTTTGGAGACAGGTCTTGCTGTGTAGTTCAGGCTGGCTTCAACTCGCTGATGTAGCCTGGGCTTGCCTTGAACTCACAGTGATCCTACTGCCTCAGCCTCCCAAGTGCTGGGATTACAGTGTATACCACCATGCTAAGCTAAGGAAATGTCTTAGAAAGTGGAACTGCTTCCCTTTTCTTTTATGCTGTCTTTACTCTGATGTACAAATGCCCATAGCATGAGCATGGTCCTGGGAGTGTAGAGTGCTGTAAACAAATGATTTTAAAATGCTTAGTCATTCTTGGATTGTCTTTTTCCTTTAGAATTGCCTCAAATTTCATATTAACAAATTTATTTTCAGTTCCATGTACTATTCTCCAATAATAAACATTCCCTTGATCACAAAAAAAACACATTGATGAACCTTAATTTTCAATTTAGAGCAACTGTGAAAAGCATTTCATTTTTCATATTACGTCTCTTTTTTTTTTAAGTCAGGGTCTCACGATGTAGTTTAGGCTGGTCTTTTTTTTTTTTTTTTTTTTTTTTTTTTTTGGCAGAACCGAGGATTGAACTCAGGCCCTTGAGCTTTCCAGGCAAGTGCTTATTCTGCTGAGCTATCTCTATCTCCCTGACCCCTAGGCTGGTCCTGAACTCACTGTGGCCCAGGCTGACCTGGAACTCATGGTGATCTTCTTGCCTGAGCCACCTGAGTACTGGGATTATAGGAATCTATCACCATGCCCAGCCTCAAATAACATTTTATAGTTTATTTAAATTTATTTAAAATTACTTATATTTTGTAGACTTCTGAGCAAGAAACTAAAGGTCTTCCAAGTAAAAAGGGAATCGTACAGTCTATCGTTGGTCAAGGCTATCATCGCAAAATAGTTCTGGCATCACAGTCCGTACAGAATACTGTATATAAGTAAGTATTTTGCAAAGAGAAAGTGTTTCACATAATGTACTTATGCATAGAAGTGTGCTTAGAATGTATTGTTTCAAGGTAATTGCTTTGTAACTAGGTTTTAATACCACTCCAGTAAACAGACTCTAAGATGGGGTGTGATGAATGTTACCTGATGTGCTGTCCTTTTGTTTTACTAGTCCATGAGTGATGGGAACTGTAAATGCCCTAAGAAAATGTGGTTGCTTCCTAGTTGTTGTTAAGAGTACCCAGAAGAGGGCGTCGTGGTATCTCTCTTTGTAGACAGTCACTTCTCAGGAATCACTGTCAGCCCAAAGCTGCCCCTGTCTGTGAGTTCCACATTCATGAGTCCACCCAACCACAGACAGAAAATATTTGGAGGAAGATTGTATCCTCACTGAACATATACAGACTTTCTTGTTATTGTCTGCCAACAGTGCAGTCTAACAACCATTACATAGCATTCTCATTATGCTAGTTATGACAAGTGCTCTAGAGATGATTTAAAGTATATGAGAGGGGCTGGGGAGATGGCTCAGTGGAATAAGTGCTTCCCTGGCAAGCTCAGAGACCTGAGTTCAGTCCCTGGTTCCGCAAAAAAATAAAAAAATAAAGTATATGAGAGGATGTACACAGGATATATGCAAATATTGCACTGTTGAGAGGATGTTTGGATTTTTTGTTTGTTTGGTTCTTTCATTTTTTGTTTCTTGAGAGGTTTTTTGGTTGTTGGTTGATCCCATTTGGGTTTTTTGTTTTGGGGGTTTTTTTTTGGTTTGGTTTTTTTTTTTTTTTTTTGGAAACAGCATCTCAATATGTAACCTAGGCTGGCCTCTAAACTTGAAGCAGTTCTCCTGCATCAGCTTCCCAATATTGGGATTACAGGTGTTTGCCACCATGCCCAGC